CCAATCAAATTAATGTACCATTTCCATACCGCCTCTCCAACTAACTTATAAATAAAGTGTTTTTGTTTTGTTGTCGAGTTTAATGTCTGTAAAATTGTAATCAGAAAGAAACAATTTATTAATGTCTTGCTTTCCACATTATTTCAATTATGTCTGACAAAGCTGTGCCGAAGAATACTACTCATTGGTCAAATTGTTATAATCTATCACCAAATTATTATCATTGTGTCAAACATTTATATTTAATATGTTGTATATTATATCTTATATTTAATATTTTCCATTGTGTCCTTGCCTAAAGTCTGTAGTAGTGTAAAACCACACTGTTTACCAATAAATTCGTGAATTAATTCATGAAGAACTTCGTTAATAAATAAATTGCCAATGTAAAACAGCTATTAGAGCTTGTATAATCCTGGTCCTCATCCTCACTATCACCAAACTCTTCAGAATGAATGCTAGTATTGTAAAAATAAAAGAATGGTTATTAAACCTTAAATGTCAAAGTTGAAATTGGCGCGATATTTAAAATTAAGTGTAAATTAACATTAATTACAGTAAATTACGTAATTTACGTAAGTTACAAAAATTACATAAATTACATCCGTTATCTCGCGGTGCGTAATATTACGGTAATTTTACAGTAATTTATGTAAGTAACAATTTGTCATTTTACCATTTACATCACTAGATGGGAATAATTAGAAACTACTAAGTGGGACCACATATCATCGATGACGCTTTAAATGAAAATAAATACCTACATTTACTGCAAGAACACCTTAACCCGTTATTGGAAGACGTGTCTTTAAATATTTGAAATAACATGTGGCTTATGCCCGATGGTACACCACCCCATTTTAGCAGGGCAGTAGGGCTTATTTAAATAAGTACCACATTTCCTGATCGATGGATCGGTCGAGGTAGTCCTTTTCCGTGGCTGCCTCTGTGTCTCATCTTAAAAGTCTTGTTTATCAAACTCTATAAATAGTAGGGAAGAATTATTAAATCGCATAATTACATAGGCCGATATCATTAGAAATGATCACCACGTTATTTTGATTACAGCAAAGGTGTTTGAGCAATTTCAGAAAATGCATTGAAGTTCAAGCTGCACATTGAACATCTTCCTTAACAGTTCAGTTCACGTTTTTCTTTTAATTCTATAGAAACCAAGATTTTTACAAAAATATTAGTACCACATTTTTGATACAATAAATGTATGTTAATAAAATTCGATTTTCTCAAAAACGATACAGATGTATGGTATACCTTTTTTTTAACAAAGTGAGAGATTAATAGAACTATGAAAGAAAAATGTCAAATTCGGCAACACTGTCAAAGATGTATAAATTAAAATGAATAATTTCGTCTGCTTCTGTATAATCCAAGCACATTGAATATCGGTTTAAACTTGGAAATGAGCATTACCATGAGTTACTTTAGTTGCCCAAATTTCATTATTGTCATCGTAATGACTTAGAAGTCATAATTGGAATTTGTTTGTTAAACTTCTTTCTTTGAAGGCGAATAACTCCACAACGAAAGGTAACATTTTTTTATTACAACTATTTTGGGCTCCCTTGTACACCCCTTCATTTTTGACATGACCTTTCCGGACACCCTGTATATACAGGGTGTCTCATGGTGACGGCCCATTAGAATTATTTCAGAGACTACTTCGATTTGAATTTTGATAATTTGAGATACCGGGTTTTCGGGCATGCCTTTCTCAAATAAAATAATGACGTCCACGTACCACTTCCGATTATACATGAAGTCGCCAAAAACTTGCGTATTTTAAATTGCAATAATATATATTGCAATTTTGGATTCTACGTGTTATTTTAGGTGGACTTTTATGAAGTTTCCCTATTCCTAAAATTAACCGTTTTCGAAATATTTAATTTTTTTCAAAAAAATGGAGAGAAACAGTGACTAGCTTCAAACCATGTATATTTTATAGTAAGAAAGATAAGCAACAATATTTATAGGGGGGATAGCTAGACCCCTAAGCTTCCCATCCATACTTTTTCAAAGTGGCTTAATTGCTTACAGGGTGCTAGAAATTTACTGCCCAGTTTAGTTAACTTCAAACCTTCATAAGTCGGTTATTTTAAATGGAACACCCTGTATGTTTTTCTATATTCTGATACATAATTTTATTCTCTTTCGAACGGTATCAGGGTTCCCTATACCTATCTCTTCTAGTTTTTAAGTTATCTACTATTTTTT